GACGGCCCTCCGCAGCGGGCGGAGGTTTGCTCCCGGGCCGCTGGTTGTTTCTTCTCCTTGTTGTAGCTGCTTTAGGCGATTAGACTTAAAATGGTTACGTGCTGGGTGTAGCGCCCTGGCCTTCAATGGAGGTGTCCTCCCTTACAGAAGACTCAATGAGAGAGAGAGAATCGGAGAGCTGGGGGCACCTGAAGTCTGGGGACTGTCGCCAAAGGTTCCTGACCCCGAGTAAGGCATATTCCTCCTTCTTTCCTTCCAGTTTTTGTGATAGTGGTGATCCATCAGTTTCGTTGACAAAAATGTCTTATCCCCACTCCAGTCCCTTTGCTACAAGTTGTCTTGTGTCAATTCATTTCTAAATCAACATGAGGTTTATTACTTTACTTTTTTTTTCCCCACAAATAATTCCAACATACCAATTATGCAAGATATGATTTATTGTAGATCCAGGTGACGTTTGTGCTGTGGTTCTGAAAGCAGTTCCCATGCTGCAAATTAGCTGCTTAATAGTTTACTCTCTTGCAAGTATTGACTCAAAACCTGCATGCACATGGAATCATAGAATCATAGAATCATAGAATGTTTAGGGTTGGAAGGGACCACTAGTGGTCATCTAGTCCAACCCCCCTGCAGTGAGCAGGGACACTGCTAACTAGATCAGATTGCTCAGAGCCCCATCCAACCTGGCCTTGAATGTTTCCAGGGATGGGGCCTCCACTACCTCTCTGGGCAACCTGTTCCAGTGTTTTACCACTCTTATCATGTTTGCTCCTATGTGTACCTTCGGTCTTGAGTACTAGGAAATAGACTTTAAATAGCAAACTTTCATTTTTATTCAGTTCTGATGAGCATACACCGGTAGAAGATGAAGAGGCAAAATCTAAGAGTAGTTCTTCAGATTCCAGCTCAGAAGGTATTTTGTTTTGCTTACACAGCTTGTTTCAAAAATGGGAAACTACTGGTCTCGAACCTGCTGCTGTTGCTTGCAAGAGGTTCACTGCCTTTGACAGGTGGAAGTGGGGGCGGTGGGCTCCAGCTGAAAGGAGAGTGTTGCTTTGGGAAGATCGGGAAATATGTATGGAGCTAGGTGATCGTTGTCTGTTCTCTAATGTTATTTAAAAATATTCTAGAGGAAAAAAAGAAAAAGAAGAAGAAAAGAAAGAAGAAAAAGCGGAAGGCATCTAAAAGAAAACGCAGAAAACATTCTGAGGACAGCGACAGTGAGTCGGAGTCTGAGCAGAACTCCAGTGGTAAGAAAAAAGAGGGGTTTGGCTGATGCGCATGGTGCGAGAGCTCTCCTTCTGCTCCTCAGAATGCAAAGGGACGCTGCTGGCTTTCGTTGCACACTTGCAGCATTCTGAAATCTCAGAGCTGCAGCATGAGTCCCCCATTCTTTTCTTTCACCATCTTGCTGGGTTTGCAGTGCCTTTCCCTTGAGTGCTTGCAGTCTGGCCTCAGGAAATAGGATTTCTGAATTCAGCCTCTGTTGGGCGTCTCGTGCCAGAGATATGTTCAATATATTCTCATAGCAAACAATATTGCCAGTAGCTGCCTACTAATACGTTCTCAGTATTATTTGGTACCTAAACAAATCGTGCCTGAAGCTGTGTACTAAGGTGTTCTGGTGGAGGCAGTTAGTTATTCACAGTGCAGTAAACTAGTTAGCTATACCTAATCCTCTCTTTTTAATAATATATATGCGTTCTTTTTTTCAGATGAGGATAAAAAGAAAAGCAAGAAGAAGAAGAAGAAGAACAGAAAGTAAGTTTCCAGACCGTGGTGTGTAATTCTTCCTGCTTTTGACTAGAGGGCAGCACTGCTTTCTTAGCAGGTGGTGAGGGAGGGCTGGCCACTCTTGTAATTAGGGCTATAAATGCTGTCGAATAATCTTAATCTGGTGGATTTTCTTTAAATCTACAGAGCCATGCAGCACAGGGGACTCGCTGCAAACGTAGGGAGCCACTTGCTAACACTGTATGAAAGGCATGGCAGTGTATGTACTGTCTTTGTTTTGCTGTGAGGTGTTTTCTATGAAACAAAACTGTCTGCAGACAGCCAAGTCTTCCTGTAGATGGAAGTTGCCTTGAGAAACTAGTGACTTGAGTATGATTCCAAGCACCTTCTTTCATCTTGAATGTTGGTCTGTCTTTGACTTGATCACAGGAGGAAGTACAAGAAGAAGAAAAATAAGAAGAGCAGGAAGGAATCCAGTGATTCAAGTAGTGAAGATTCTGATGATGAAACATTTCAAGGAGAAGATCTCTGGATTGAGAGATCAAGTAGGTTCACCTGACTTTAAACTTGGATTGAAACTTCTTGATGTCCTTTTCGTGAATTCTTTGCTAGGTGTTGCTGACCTGTGTAACTGTTCTGATAACAAGGAACAATGGGCAAGATATTAATCTTCCTCATTATTTGATTGTTGCAGAAAATACAGAAGCTGATAGCTTGATTGGACCAGAAGCTCCCAAAACTCATGCATCTCAGGATGATCGGCCTTTGAAGTGAGTAGCCAGCTTTAACGGTACTTTGATCAAATCCAGTGGATCAAGCCTGAAGGTTGCTGTTCAAAAGGACTGTTACAACAATATGGCATGCAACGGAGAGAAATGCTGTGCCAGAAGCTCACAGGCAGACGTGGTAGTGGTGCTAGCCTTTACCCTGGCCTGAATTTGGGTAGAAAAGTCTGGTTTACACTATTTAGCCTTGATTCCTAGCAAATCATTTGTAAGATGCCTTTATTCTAATGCTCTGCAGTATTGTGACTGTAGTCTCTTCATTACTGTTTAATCAGAATGGATTCAAGTGGTAAGTTAAGACGTTGTTGCTATTGTTAGCAGTGAGGAAGAAACAGGCTGATATGTGGGAAAGAATAAGAAAGTGCTTCAAAATGCAGCTGTAGCAAGTAGTGAACGGGGGAAGCTGGATGCTTAGCTCAGGCTCTCTCAATTTGAGACTGATTGAAATCACCCCTTTATTGGTTTGGTTTTTGTGTTTAAGCTATGGACATGCCCTCTTGCCCGGTGAAGGTGCAGCAATGGCAGAATATGTAAAAGCAGGAAAACGCATACCCCGGAGAGGTGAAATCGGCTTGACCAGCGAAGAGATTGCCTCATTTGAGAGCTCTGGTTATGTCATGAGTGGCAGCAGGTATGGTTTTGATGATGGTAATGGTTCAGTGAAATGTTGGCCCATTGGAAGGCTGCTTCCAAGCTCTAGTTGAAAGCACGGAAGAGAAGGTGCTCTGCGTGCTTGCAATGATCTGTGCTAAACTCCCTGTTGGTATAGATAGAGGGTGAGTTTTTTAAGGATGCTTTCTCCTCAAGAGCAAAAATTTTTTCCAGGTAATATACATCTAATGATCTTGCATTTCAAATGAGGAGATGCTTGTGTCAGGTGGCTCAAAGGTGGTGTGTTTGGATGACAGTGGTATTGTGCTGGCTCTTCAGTAGGAGGTAAATCAAGGTGTGAGAGGTTGGCTGCACTGTTTTCTCTACAAGTCCAATGGGAATATCACTTAAATTTTGGTGAGCCAGCAGCTGAAACCCTGGGGGTAGATGGGGCTTCTGGCTGACTGCCTGAGAGAAACAGAACACCCCCAGAAATCAGTTTTTATCTCTGTCACGTTCCTTCCTGGGAAGGTTTGTGTGCAGTTTGGATTCTCTAGCATAGGTATCTTTATTTATAAGCCCCTCAAAACATTCAGATCAGTTGATGGATGGAAGCAGTGATGGGGCCTTGCATCCCTCTGCCCGTGCTGATGTACGCAATGTTCTTCTCCGCAGACATCGCCGAATGGAAGCTGTGCGTCTGCGTAAAGAGAACCAGATTTACAGCGCGGATGAAAAGAGAGCTCTGGCATCCTTTAACCAGGAGGAGAGGAGGAAACGGGAGAATAAGATCCTTGCAAGCTTTCGAGAGATGGTCTACCGAAAGACTAAGGGCAAAGAGGAAAAATAATTCTTTATTTGAACTGTACGCTGTAGATTTTACCAAGCAGCAGCTAACCTGCTCCAGTCATGATTTGAAAAAAACCTGCAAGTGCTGCAGTGCCTTTCACCCAGCAGGGCCAAGCCTCAGGTGTGGATTACTTGTATCAAGGAAACAGTTACTTTTGTCAAATTTTCTTGGATGATTTGTTCACTGTCTACCAGGAATCCCTGTGAAGTGAAAGGCCACAAGACGGGGAAGGCAGACACAGGCAGGGAAGATTAGAGGTGGCAATGTTCTGTGCTCGCTTTGAATCGGACAAGCAGGAGGATTCCACGGGAGGGCTTTCTCACCCGATGCAATTTTCCATTTATTTTAATTAATGAGAATAGAGTGGTCATCAGAAGCAAGCTGCTAGTAACAGTAGCAAGAATGAAGGAACTCCTGAGTTCCTGTTTAAGATCTAAGATTGTCCACTTAGGTATTTTTCTGTAAGTCTTTTAGATTTATTTTTTTTCTCAAAACATTTGAGTTTGGCTTGTGGTTCAAACTAGACTTGTAAATAGAAATTAGTTTGTAATTTAATACAGACTGGCTTCAGTTACTTTAAAGCAAGCAGATCACAATCAAGGTATAAAGTAATAGTAATAGGAGGGTCTGATCTTCTGTCCGCCAAAGCCCATGGTGAAGAACGAAGTCGCTTGCTTCTTTTTCTCCTATGTTATACATAGGTATCAGAGCAGTGGGGTGCAGTGATTGGAACCCCTGGATGTACACAGGTGGTAACAAGGATGTATCTTTCCATTTATTTGAGATTTTTTTTTTTTTTTTGTCTATGGAAGCGTTATAGATTAAAACTTTCTTTTAACTCCCGTGGTATTTTAATTTGGTTGGTTTCAGCAGTATTATGTGGCTCTCTTTTAAACTCTGTACTTGGAGGCCTACTCCGGGTAGTGCTTCTGTGGTGGTTATCTTTGATTCAACTGCGTATTTGCAAACATACCCCCTTAGCCTTCTTTTTCTCAAATGCTTTTAACAACAAAGTGTTTTCTAGAGGGTTTTTTTTTGTTGTTGTTCCTGTAAATCTCTGTGTTGTAGTTTTGGCAGCAGAGATGTCTTATATGTTTGTATAAAGAAAATAAAAGTCCTATAACGTTTGCCCTGGAGTTCTGCAGACCTGGTGTTCGCAAACAGCAAGTCCAGCACAGCTGCCTATTCCCATTTTCGCTCTGGAACCTGGTTCTGTCCTGCCGTACCCACCCATACCTGCATGGGACCGTCATGTAAAGCCAGCTGCCAGGTCAGGCTGTAGTTGATTTTGCACAGATTTAATGCTTTTTATGTATCCACAAAGCAGAAATGCTAATAAGGAAGAGCCATTCTTTCTTCATTGTGCTTATTTGATTCTCCACAAAATACCGTCAGGGCATTGGCGATGGTGATTTGGAGTTGTTCGTTGCAAAGTAAGTCAACAAGGATTATTTTGTTTTCCATAATGTCATTAAGCCACTTTTCTCTAAAATGACCCTGTTCTGGCCTGGAGGATGGAATAAAAAGAGAGTAAACGCTAAGAATAATACTGAATCCAAGTTTGGCTGGCTGAGAGGTGGCCTTTATTCATAGGACAAGCCTAACTTCTGAAAAAAAGATCACCACCTAGACCTGTGTAAACCCAGGACAAATTAACTATGGAGAAGGCAGATGCTCATGGGGTGGCTATCCGTGCCTGCGGTGGAGTGAAGCTGATGATAAGCAGGGTCATCTGGGTTTGCGTAGCAAGATTCTGACATCTTCCTCCACCTCTCTGCTATTATTGCAAACTTGTTTACATCAAGCTCCCAGTTTGTGTTTGGCATGGAAAAGCTTGCTAGAACCTCCCAAGTTGTGTTGCTGATGGAAGAGTTAATAACATTTACGAGTGAAACAGCCTGACGGACTCCAGAGCAAAGAGTATCTCCGCAGGCAAGGTCTGCAAGAGAGGAGACAGGGCAGAGTTCATATACAGGACCTCAAAAAGCAGACATTTTAATGAGGTGGGAGCCACTATCTACTACTTCAAAAATAACCTCTGTATTTGTACATTTCCGATATGGATTAGAATAGCTTTGGTTTAAAGCCATTGTGAGTATTCTCTTGTGAAGGCTCAGATGTTACAATTTTAAGCTTGTACCTAGGATATAAGATTTCTGACCAGTGGCTATGAGCTGTTGTGCTGGTTTTGGCTGGGGTAGAGTTAATTTTCTCCACAGCAGCCAGTATGGGCTATGGTTTGGATTTGTGCTGGACACAGCGTTGATATCCCCAACCTGGGATGGTTTCGCTCCTGCGGAGCGAGGCTGACACAGAGCCAGGGCCGACCCAGAGCCAGGGCCTTGTCTGCCTCTCACCCCACCTCACCAGTGAGGAGGCTGGGGGGGCACAGGGAGCTGGGAGGGGGCATGACCGGGACAGCTGACCCCAACTGACCCCAGGGGTATTCCATACCATATGATGTCATGCTCAGCATATACAGCTGGGGCAGGGGGGTTGCTGCTTGGTAACTGGCTAGGCATTGGTCAGTTGGTGGTGAGAAATTGTTTTCATTTGTATCACTTGTCTTTCCTAGGGTTTTTTTTCTCTCTCCTGGTTATTTTTTTCTGTATAATTTGTTATTATTTCTCTTTTTAAATTATTAAACTCTTTTTATCTCAACCCACAAGTTTTCTCACTTTTACACTTCCAATTATCTCCCCCATCCCACCGGGGCAGGGAGGGAAGTGAGTGAGCAGCCGTGTGGTGCTTAGTTGCCAGCTGGGGTTAAACCGCAGCATCTGTAGGCTGCTGCTCAGGGATCCATAGCCAGTAAGTAGAAAAGCTAAGGGTTCAGTATGATTAAGCATAGGTTTTGGAGACAAAAATCTACTTAATGCAATTTAGTTCTTTTTTTTTTTTTTTTTTTTTTTTTCCTCTTGAGCTGCAACATGTTCCTGTACAGGTGACAAACTTCAGGCCAATCTGGAAAGGGGTCCTGAGAAAGCATGAGCAGTGGGCCAGGCTCCCTCTACTGACCCCTCATTCCGGCAGTTCGCCTCTGCTCAGCCCTACTTGAGCAATTGCTGTTCTTCGGAAGGGGAAGGCGGTATGAGCAGGAAAGCAGATGTGGGATCCTGCCAGTTTCTCTGTTTGTCATGTTTCTGCCAGTCTCCACAATTTGGGAACTAAACCAGGTTCTGGCTCTGTGCTTTGCCAAACACAGACTCAGTCCAGCCTGTGTGGTACAGAGGTGCTGTGGGCCCTGAACACCAGCACCTGTGGCACAGAGACCCTCAGAGGGAAAGGACCATGGACACTACATGGGAGGGGCCAGAGCTGTTTTAGCAGGACACAGCGCGCTCAGTTCCCAGCAGCCGCTCTTCTGGCATGACAAGGGGCCGTTACAAGGATTCAGCTACTAGAGGAATAAATGAGTAAAGTATAGGTCCTGGTCCTTGTGGTCTGATAAAGGTGCTTACTGCTTGAAGGTGAAAGGAGATGGTGAGAAGATGGTTTAGGTTTGTACGAGATGGGAGAATGAGTATCAACAGGTAATAGCACAGAGCGAGAGCAAGCTGTGAAACTTTCCTTTGCTCATTGGCACACAGTGTTCTGTATTTCTTAGGGGAGTTTTCCTCATTTGGTTTCATCCCCTCAGTAATAAAATTTGGAAGAACAACTGCAGCATAGGTGTCTGCTTTTGAAAGCCCGATGGGAGAAAAGAACCTTGAGGATCCTGGTGTAGGAGTTGTGCCAAGACATGGGGAAGCATCTGAGGGGGAAGTGGCCAACAGGCTGGAAAATGGCTTAGCAGCTGATGGGAAGGTCTTGTGCTGCTGGGGAGGCAAGACTTGGGACGCAGGCCCCTGGAAAGCACTGTAGCTGACTAGCTGGTGGTAAATGCTTTGGACTGGTATTTCACTGATTCCCAAGCTCTTTTCAGCCATTCAGAAACCTGGGGCCTTAACAAGCTTGTCGGGAGCCAAACCCAAGGCTGACCACATCTGGAAAGCACCAGCAGCCGGACAGCTTAATTTAACCACATCGTCTTGGACACAGAGTGCCACAGGGAAGTGTTGGATGCATCTGTCCCTGCTCAGTGACACAGGCTATGAGTTACAGTTCAGGACTACTGATAGGCTGTCGGAAACACTTCGTCCCAACCCAACTAATCAGCAGAGGAATTCAGATGCAAATTTCTGTGTCTGAGCTTTCTGTTATTCATACCAATGTAAATTGAAAAGAATTCTGTTTATGTCGGTGTATTTTCTTTTTCAGCAATATTACTACTTTTTCAATGTGGCTACAAGCAAATAGAGGGGAATTCTATTACAGAGGCACTCACAGAGAGCAGAGAAACAGACTTGGTTGCAGTCAGCAGAAAATGACTTCTGGTGCTGCTGCTGCTTGGCTCTTTCTGGCTGTGGAACAGTAAAAGGGAATGTTTTGCTGCTGGCCTGGCTGCTCTTTCAGCTGAGTAAGCATAACTTTACAGTCACCAGGCTGGAAATTTCTCAGAAATTTCTGTGATTTATGTGACACTGCACCTTGTTCACTCTGTGTGGTTATTTGTGGTTGTCCAAACCCTGTGCCTCACAGTGAACCAGTGTTAATGGTAGTGACACAAGATCTGCATTTCACTCTCCCATTTGCCACACTTCAACATGCAGACAAGTAAGAGTCATTGTTTATAGCGGATTTAGGATGTAGCAGAAACAGTTTTGGGCTGTATTGTAAGTTAAAACTGCTGAATATTACTGCGCTGGGAGGGAGGAATTGCAAGCTGCAGGAGGTGACCCTGTCTATTCACGCAGCCTGCTGCAGACAGCAGGGTTGCTAGAGGGGACTCCAGATCAGCAGAAGTGGGCACAAAAATGGGGTCAGTCCTGCTGACTTTCTGCATTTCACCAGTACTTCTTATTACAGGTGTATTCATAATGGTAGTTTTATGGTAGTCCTCTTAGCACTCTTCTTCCTCTCACAGACACCTGCATAGTGTATATCGGAGTGCATGAAGTGAGGAAAACAAATTCTGTCCAAAGCTTATCTGCAACTGTATGGAGTTTGCGTGGCCAGGTTTTGGTAGTGGGGCGGCTGCAGTCAGAAGAGAGGGGTGAGAAGATGTGAGGGGAGCAGCCCTGCAGACACCCGGGTCAGTGCAGAAGGAGGGGAGGAGGTGCTCCAGGTGCCGGAGCAGACATTCCCCTCCAGCCTGTGATGAAGACCATAGTGAGGCAGGCTGTCCCCCTGCAGCCCACTGAAGCCTGCGCTGGAGCAGATCTCCACCTGCGCCTGGGGAGGACCCCACGCTGGAGCAGGGGGATGGACCCGAAGGAGGCTGTGACCCCGTGGGAAGCCCGAGCTGGAGCAGGCTGTGGCCCCACGGGGAGAGGAGCCCACGCTGGAGCAGGTTTGCTGGCACCCTGTGGGAAGGACCCACACCGGAGAAGTCTGTGGAGGACTGTCTGCCATGGGAGGGACGCCAGGCTGGAGGAGGGGAGGAGTGTGAGGAGGAAGAAGCAGCAGAGACAACGGGGGGTGAACTGACCACAACCCCCATTCCCTGCTGCACCGCTCAGGGGAGAGGAGGTAGAGAAATTGCTAGTGAAGTTGAGCCTGGGCAGAAGGGAGGAGTGGGGGGAAGGTGTTTTAAGATTTTATTTTATTTTCCAATTACCCTACTATTGGCCATAAATTAAACTAACTTCCTCGAATCAGGTCTGTTTTGCCTGTGACAGTAATTGGCGGGTGATCTCTCCCTGTCCTTATCTCGACCCACGAGCCTTTCATTATATTTTCCCTCCCCTGTCCAGCTGAGGAGGGGAGTGATAGAGTGGCTTGGTGGGTACCTGGTGTCCAGCCAGAGTCCACCCACCACAGCAACACAGATACAAGGGTTGAATACAGGTATATCTTTATTAAAGAGTTAAATCATTTTATATAGATATGTGGATTCTTCCAAGTGCCACCACCTTAGTCTATGTTCTCCAGACCCTGAAAAAGAAAAAGTAACAGCTGTATCCGCACCATTCTTGTTGCTAACTTGCAAGGGGGCGTAGCTGAAAATGCAGGGCTTCAAACTATGCCAAGTCCTACTTAAAAAAAAAAATACTAAGACGCACATCCCCACAGGCAGGGCAGCGGCGGGTACAGAGCGAGCTCCAGTGCCCACCGCAGAGGCTGTGGGAGCCCCCAGCCCAGAGCCTGGGGACAGGGGAGCAGTGCGTGCCTCCCGCTCCCTCCCGGGGGTACCGGCCCCGAGCCCCCAGCACCTGCCTTGGACACATAGTACTTGTCGACACCCGACAGCCGCCTGTCCCTCTCCATCAGGGTCCACTGGGAGGGGGAGGGGGGGAGCCTC